CAGAGTCTTGCCCTGTCACCCAGCCCGGAGTGCAGCGGCATCATGGCTCACTGCAGCCTTGAACTCCTGGGCTTCAAGGGATCCTCCCACCTCAGCCTATTGAGTAGCTGGGACTGCAGACACAGGACACTACATTTGGCTAATGGAACGTTTTTTCTTTCTTTCTTTTCTCTCTCTTTTTTTTTTTTTTTTTTTAAGAGACAGGCTCTCACTCTGTGACCCAGGCTGGAATACAGTGGCACCACCATAGCTCACCGCAGCCTCAAACTCCTGGCCTCCAGTGATCCTCCCAACACCTCCCAAGGCGCTGGAATGACAGGCATGAGCCACCAGGCCCAGCCTGCACTTAACTTTTAGCTAGCAGCAGCGTGTTGACTCGTCCCCTCCATGAACCAGACTGGAGTTTTATCCTTTCCTATCAGGTGGCCACAGGAAACCCCGCGAGACTGTGATGTAAGTTTTAAGAAGAGGCACAGGCCGGGCGCGGTGGCTCACGCCTGTGATCCTAGCACTCTGGGAGGCCGAGCCGGGAGGATTTTTTGAGCCCAGGAGTTTGGGGTTGCTGTGAGCTAGGCTGACGCCACGGCACTCTAGCCCGGACAAGAGTGAGAAGAGAAAAAAAAAAGAAGAGGCACAAATGCAACTGTAATAGGTGACACAGGGGCCTGATGCCAGTTGTCCACGTAAGTCATTGGTGCCCTCTGGACCTGCTCGGCTCCGTCCCGAATCCTCGTCCCCCGTGTAGCTGCAAAGCTCCTCCACTGTGCAGTGGATTGCTGCTGTGCCCACCCGACGTCATCCTTGGGGGATCCAGCTGCACCCACATCATTATGGGCATTTCTGACTACAGGTCCCCTGTTTGTTTGTGTATTATTTTTAAAAAAATTGAAACGGGGTCTTGCTATGTTTCCCAGGCTGGTGTCCAACTCCTGGGCTCACGTGATCCTCCTCCAGAACTCCAAAATTTGCAATGACTCTATAAAAGAGGCTTGACACAGACTGTTCAGAGCACTTTCCATAACCAGATACCGCTAGACGCCATTGGACCTGCTGGAATCTGTCAATCCTGCTCTGGGTCCCGCTCAGCACGAGCGGCCTTTGTGTCACCCAGTAAATGGGCTGGAGGAGACTTTCCAAATCTGCCTGTCTTAAGTGGTCTTTTGAGTACAAATTATTCGGGGAAACCTTAGCACATAGTATGTACATCGGGAACTCCTCTGCCTTTCAGGTACTCTACATCACTTTGTCCTGCTTAATTCTCTTCATCACTCATCACTGTCTAAAAATATGAATGTCTGTCTGTTTACTAACTTATCCTTAGAGTCCCCCCTAGGGGGGAAAACCCCTCCAGGAAGGCTGTGACTTTATCTCGGTTGTTTTTTGTTTTATTGTGTTTTCGGTGTTTTGTTTTTGAGACAGTCTGATGTTTAGCTGCATCCCAGCTTCTATTCACTAGATGCCGGTAGCATCAGCTGCCTCCCCAGTTGTGACAACCAAACACATGTCAAGACGCTGCCAAACGTCTACTGAGGCGCAACGTTTCCCCGGTGAAGAGCCACTGGTCTGAGTCAGCAGAGGGCACCGCCTAACTGCGTGGGTTTCAAAGTATCTGGATTGAAGGAGAAGGGGTGGACAATGGCCAGGGGTCAGCACTGAAGCGCGGTAAGGTGGCGCCGCACCCCTCCCAGCAGCGGGATGTAGATAGCACACACTGCCCCTCCTCCTTGAAAGGCAAGTCGTGTCCGCGGGCAGTCTGTGCTGAAAGGCTAAAGATTAGTCAAAGGCCTGACAGCACCAGTGGGATAACGGAGCCGTTGATTCCCGCGGGCAGGGGGAAGTGGCTCACAGGTAAAGATGGGGAGGAGGCTGAAAGCTTTCAGAGCTATAATAAGATTGCAGATTGTGGCTGAGGCACTAATCAGCTTAAGCCCTGTGACATTTTGGGAGTGGTGGCCATCCCCTTACTGGGACCGGGGTAGGTAGGCAGTGTCAGCCAAGGGGTGACGCTCTCGCAAGTTCTCTCGAGGGCTCCAAGGTCAAGAACTCCTTGGGACACCAATTTCATCCCCCCCAAAATGGGGACAAGAGCTGGCAGTTTCTAACCCTACCTACCTTC